TTTGGAATCATAGGTGGTGTGGAGAGGATACTCTGAGGGTCTCCTTCCCCCACGTCTTCAGAGCTTCAAACCAGAAGGAATTGATGGTCCAACAGATTCGTAAGGAGCATGAATGGGGTAGTATGGGACCTCTCATTCAGAAGGAACATGCAAGATTGGGAGATTGCGGAGCTCCAAGATTTGTTGGCACTACTATATGGGCAAGACAGGCCCCAGCCATCCTGCGACTATTGGAGATGGGGCTTGCGTGGCGATGGTTTGTTCACCGTAAAGTCCTTTTACCAGAGTATGTTGGTGAGAGAGGAGACCACTTTTCCATACTCCTCGATCTGGATTCCTAGGGCGCCCACGAAGGTGTGCTTTTTTGCATCGCTAACGGCGAGGGGAGTGATCTTGACTGCTGAAAATCTCCGGAAAGAGAGGAATTACACTTGTTAGTTGGTGCTACATGTGTAAAAGCTCAGGGGAAGAAGTTGATCACCTTTTGTTGCATTGCCCTGTGTCCTCTGCTTTGTGGAGGGCAATCCTGAATCTTTTTGGTGTTCAATGGGTGATGCCAAGCACTGTAAAGGAAATGTTATATAGCTGGGCCGGTTTCCGTAGAAGAAGAAAGCAAAAGGCATAGAAGTTCGCCTCGTTAGCTCTCATGTGGATAGTATGGGGGGAGAGAAATAGGAGAGCTTTTGAGGAGATTGAGTCTCCTTTTTCAAATCTTAAGAATAGTCTTTTATCTTTGATCGCTTTTTGGTGCACTCATTTAGCCCCTACTTATATAGAAGATTGGGCGTCTTTTGTAGAGAATCATGGTCTGATGTAAATTCTCTACGTTTTGGTATACTTCGTGTATACGGGAGTTCTCTCCCTTTTGATTAATACAATTTACCTTATCACCAAAAAAAAAAAGGGGACCCTATAAATGTTGTTGCGCCAGCATCAAAGTAGGAGTATCTAGTCGAAGTTACAAATAGGCCAAGAAAGGTAAATTTTAAAGTCTACTCCAACAAGCTTTTCTATAAAAAGTAGCAAATTACTTATGAACCTGCTTACTCGACGTGTATTGAGACATCGATAATATTTCTATACATAGCATGAAAATATCTTCTTACCAATATCTTTATGCTGACTCCAATTGAACGAGGAACCAATAAAATATTGATTTTCAATGTAAATGAAATGTTGTGCAGCACGAATGGCCTTCACATATGCTGTGTGTATGCTCATGTCAATAAGTACATTTTTCCCACAGACCAGGTTCTGCAAGAAAAAGAAAAGAAAAGAAAATGAGTATATACTTGGAATAAGTAAATGAGTATGTGTTTTGGAGCAGACAAAGGATCTCCTCCCTGTCATTGCCCTGCATTTTTCTTTCTCACCTTCATTGTAGCTTCTTTGGGATCCTTTGGAAAGCCTTTGACTGAATTTGAATCAATTGAACGAAAAATCTGGTTGATAATTGAAAAAGAATATGTCACCACAAGATCAAATACAACACTCCAATTAAATTTCTATCTATTGATATTACGTTAATAACAACCTGTACATGCCAACCGTTAGGGTCATCGCCGCTCACAGATGGAGCATCAGAAATACCAAGAATTTCAGGCATTCTTTCAATTCGGAGCAAAGCATCATCATACGATGTCTTCAACTTTTTAATGCCATGAGGCTTTGAAGCCTTCAACCAGCGCTCCTCGAAGTTTGTGAGAACATCATATGCTGCTGGCCCATCAATTTTACTGTGCAGGTCATGCCATGGTTCTCTTGGACAACCAGCTACACTCCCCTGTTAAGTACATGAGATAGATTACTATTAAAGCAACACAAAGAATTACATTGACTTGTTGGTGGAGAAAGGTAATTGTATGACAAGAACTTCACCCTAGAGATGTATCAAGGAAACACAACAAAAAATATTACTCCTCCCTCCAACTTATATAATGTAGTTTGACTTGGCACGGAATTTAAGAAATGAAGACTTTTGGAACTTGTGGATCTTAAACATGCCATTTCATTTGTGTGGCTATAGAAGCTTCTCACTAAGCGTAAAATGCGAAGCTTAAAGTTAAATTGTTTCTAAATATAGAAATGTTTCATTCTTTTTGAACGGCCTAATAAGAAAATAATGTTAGATAAAATGGAGCAGGACTAACTCACAAGACAAAAGTTTTCATCTGAGATTTATATTTCTACTTTAAGATTGTGATTGTAAATCCTAATGAAACAAGTTGATACAGTTCACTCATGATCAATATGTAAAATCTTTTCTCCTGCTACAATACAATACTGAATGATGTAACTTGACTAGGGATAATTATTAAGGCAAGAAACCTAAATGTCAACTGAGGAAGATGTAGGAGGACAAAGCTCGTTCTATTCTTTTGGCCAAACCATTTACTTTTGTTCCAAAGGTTGAAAATTGTATAAGCTTGTTAACAATATTGATCTACATCACAGTCTTCCAGTTTCAAATTCTACATCGCGCTTCAACTAGACATGGTTATTAAGATGATGGATGCAAATGAATATTTGTCAACATTATTTCGAAATATGAAGGGTGCACAGTCAGATCTGAAAGAAGTCCTGTAAAAAATGGTTCTCAATTAACTTGTTGAACTGTGTAATATTGGAATTAAATTGGAGAAGAAAGTAAAGTAGTTCCTTACAGATATATTATTGGGGACATGAAAATAGGGGAACAATGATTTTCGCTTTGAAATCAGGAAATAGATTCTCAATTAGATCGGAACGGTGCAGGAAGCACAAATGACAATAACCTGCTCTCTGGTCATTATCAGAATTTATAACAGCTCATATTCTACTAAGCTTTTGAAGAAGAGAGTTCCTGTTTGTAAACCTGAACTGCTTCAGTTTCACACTTATCATTAAAACAAAAAATAAAAGAGAATCAAAAGAATGGTGTTTCCAACTATAGTAGAAATCTATAGGCATTATTTTACACTAGCTGGGGTTGGCCAAGCTCAAAGATATAAAAGAAAGGTACTATGGATGGTCCGGGTAAGAGAATCCTAAAGAGCTTGAGAATAACTAAGTTTTACATATCATTTGACAAATAATAAATAGTTAGACACTGCAAGTAATCAAGGAATACTCATTGTGAAGAATTTCATACTTGCTAATATAACTACGCTATGTGGTGGAAAATCAGCAAATTAACAACGGTAATCAATGTCTATGAAAACAAGCTAAAGGACATTTAAGGATGAAAACAAGCAAAAGGATATTAAGGATGAAAAGTTACAGCATAAGTAGGGTTATGATAGTCATCAGAGTGCACTGTCTGCAGTGTTCGAAATAGAGGATGCTCTGGTGTATCATATCGTCCATCACATAAATCAAGTCCTCCAACAAATGCTATGATTTTTCTTCGATTGTTGCCAGCATCAGCATCCACTATTACCGTCTTCTGGTGATGTGTATAAATTACTCCAACTTCCTGCATACCAAACTCACAAGATAGGCTATGGAGTACAATAAAAAAAGGAAATTCAAATGAAGTAGTCTAGCAATATAACAGTATAATGCAAAAAATTTGTGCTGAAGACATCATCAGATGTACCTTAGTGGCAACGACCTAAAGTTTTCAAATCTTTTGACATAGTGGTAAGAGGCATGCAATACAATAAAAAGTTAACAGGACTGTTTCACCCACATGTTAAAGGACTCTGGGCACACCTTGAATGATTGGCATCGAGACATGCCAGCAAGGAAACATAGTGGGAAAGGCAGAAATCAATGCAGTCAAATGAGATTTAATGTCTAAACAAACTTTGCTTTGTCGGGGATCATTACTTAAATAGTCCTCACAAAGAAAAGGCAAAAGGGGGTTGATACTTGGAGAAACTAAAGCTCAGTAGAAACCTAATGGCAAAAGGAAGTTATCTCTCCACTGATCAAGGAAGCTAATTCAAAAATAATTTGCAAGTATAAAAATTATATATGTATTAAAACAGAATGATGTTCAATGGCCAGAATCCCAAGATTTAGAATCCTTCCAGGGCTGCTGATATCTTGTAACTCTTTTGATAACTGGTCATATAACTTATCCCATAGAGAAACTATAGAAAGAAACATCAAAATCTAACTTACCCTCTGCTTGACCCAACTGTGACGCTTCCCTGCCACTCGAGGACAAAGCAGCACTTTTACGGAAGAGTGTTTAAAAAAACTACGAGTCTCTTCATCATGGGTTGCCATAACGCCATCCTGCAGCTCAAAATTAAGCATTCAAAACTAAATTTACATGAAGCCTTTGGGGACTATCTAATACAGCTAACAAGAAGATGAAAACACAAAATGGTTAGAGCGCCACTATGTATTAGCTCTGCAGAAGAAATGCTAAAACAGAAATACATCATGAGTTGATCTCGGAGAACTAAATGGATATCAAGATATGCATATGACATAAGTATAACAGAACCATAAGCAATCTTGCACGTCCGAGACATGGATTCTTTCCAGTTGTCTTAGTTGATGCACTAGTTTTCCAGGCTGAAAATGATAAATGTGCCCTTGACTGTAATTTGACTTGGCACTCACAGATTATGTAACTTAAAGCCAGTCACTGACTTACTTTATTAAATATACTGTCTATGAATGTATATATTGGTATTTCACTGATTTAACAATTAGATTTCTGGGTAGAAGTGTTCAATAATTGAATAAACAACACAATATGTGCAGATGATGCACGCATGAGAATAGGCGTACAATGTCACATAATCTTTTTTCCAGACATTTCAAATGATCATTTGGAAATATAAAAAGGGAAAATATTAAATTTACACCTGAGGTATGCTGCTAATAACAACTTAAGACATTGAAATTTAATTTAAATCTGTAAACGATGCTTGAATATTCATTTTCTGCACATACAAAAGACAGAAGTTCACTAAAAATATGTATCATTTACCGTCTTATAGCCAAGGATGCTTCTTGATGTAGGGTCATCCCATACAAGAAGCAGCACTCTAACACCTTCTTGTGACTTTGACTTCAAAAGATCCCCTAGAGTGTACTTGTCAAGAGAAGCATCATCTCTAACAAGTCTGACTTTGTGCCATACTGACCAACCTGTAATGTAGATCAACCGTCGGGCTTGGCGTATGGCATTACAAATGTCACGCCAGCACTTTCCATGTACATATTGCATTCCAAAGTCGAGCATCAAATTTGGTAGGCTTCCATCAGGAACATGAGCATCTTGATACAGAGTAACTGTTCCACCCATCCTCAGTGGGAAGTACGTTCCAGGAACCCCATAATACTCAGGACCAGCACCAACTCCATGATGGTAAACACTTAATTTATCAATTGGGTAATATTGGACTGATATACTCAAAACAGCTCCAGCCTTGCAAGGTCTTCCGCTACTGTTTAGGATTGGAAAGGACCCCTCTATTTTACCCCCTCCATATATCTGTTCTAGTGGGACAGCCACTGTCCCCATAAGCTGAGAACCGACTATATCATCGTCCTTGACAAGAAATTGTACCTCGGCAGCATAGTGTGCAACAGGGACATTAAAATGTTGCATCCACACGGGATTTTCATTATTGCTTATGACATAAGTCCTCCCAATCACTGCATCAGCTACAGTAATTGAGACGTACGGATCACTTGTGATCTTATTACTCATTTGCCCAAACATATCCCCAATGGTTTTGTGGAACATGTCCATGTTCGGGAGATTTTTTGCTTCGTATACCCAAATATCCAGATTACCGTGTAAGAGCAAAACTTTTAAGTTTTTTTTAGAAGACGAGAATGGCACAACCTGCATAGCCTGAGTATTCTGTGGTTCAGCACAAGAAGTTGGATAGGTTGGTTTTGGAGACTCCGTTTCCCACCTTGAAAAGGAATTAGGGTGGCCATAGATAGTCCCTTGAGCATTGTAGTTTGAGGGAACAGGGTTTGGCCCCGAGTGATATGATGCCGATGCCGATGCCGGAGCAGGAGGAGAAGCAGGGGCAGAAGGGTGATTTTCAGTCAAATTCACCTTTGCTAAGAGATCATGGATTGGTGGATAAGCTGAAGGGCGAGTGGAGGAGTCATCTCTACCATGATCATAGCTTGCCCCAGAACTACTAACAGATGAAACACTATCTTGGCGTTGGAGAGAGTCGTGAACTTTGGATGGTTGGCTCTCCAAAGGCCTTTCTGGCCAGGAATGTGGATAATGCAGAGGTGCAGCATATTGAAAACTGCTTTGCTGTTCAAGAGCAGGCATAGGAGAAGATGTTGCAGGAGGCGGATATGCGTGGGGTGGATAGGCAGGAGCAACACCATGTGGTGGTGGAGGATAACCATAGTCTAAAGAGCTGGAGTGGTGGTGAGCGGGCGCCGGAGGTGCTGTTGGAGCTGGTGGATAGGGATGATAGTTATAGTGACCAGAATGTTGAGTGCTGTAAGGGGGAGGATAATGAGGGGATTGATGAGGATATGAGTATGGACCAGAACCAGGAGGAGGATATGCACCTGAACTGGGAGGGGGGTAGGGTTGATTTGAAGGTGGTGGAACATGAGGAGGGTACCCATAAGCATTGTTATATGGGTAAGAAGGTGAATTATTATACTGATCCATTAATATACAGTACCAGATTACACTATTCTTAATTCTTTCGTGTACATTAACATACAAACTGATCAAACCTAACCAACAAATCAAGAGGGTCTGTCCAAGATCCTGAATTTCACCTAATTCAACACACCATAAAAAGAAACAAGCTTCCTTACCCCTACCGGAGGAAGGGGGGGGGGGGTTAAATTGCAAAAGATAGATATTCTAGAGGAAATATATCAAATTGATCATGGGAAAATAGAAGATATCAATGAGGTTCTTGAATCTAGAAATATATTCGTAATCAGCAATGGAAAATGCAAAAGATCAAGAAAACAAAGTACCTTATACAGGGTTATGACTGAATTACTAAAAAGAGAAAGAAGATCACAAAAAATAGCAGGATCAGGTGAAAAGGAGCCAGTGGAGCCTGGAGCTTCCCAAAAGGACAACAATTGAACTTTGTCAACGCGTTTAAGGTAGATTTTACTGCTTGGGAGAGATTGAAGAATGACAGTGCCGTTATCTTGACAGAACTAGGAAGCTGATTTGACGGTGACGGACTTTTCTGCTGGAGTTCATTCACTTAACGGCGTCCATTTCCAAAACTTTTCTTTGTTGATTCATACAAGAAAGAATGACAAAAACAAAAAAATAAAAATCAATGAAATCAGAATTTTTTATGAGTTTGATTTTGGCACGGCATAAAAATCTTTAGATTGTCTTCTAATGGCGTCACTTGCTCAAGAATCTGGTAAACAACTGCAGCAACGTAATCACTTTTATTTTTATTTTTAGTTAGTGTCAAATGTAGCTGCCTGTATTATAATTTGTTTACTACATCTTGACCTCAATAAATTCTGAAAAAGCTTAATTATAATCCGTTTATTAATTCGACCTGTTTTAGCTTACTTTTGGTAATGAAATTACTATTAGAAAAAATCTACGTAAGCGGTGTAATGGTAACGTTACTGTATGAATGTGTGGGTTTGTATTTATTTTAGGGTAATCAACGGTCAATATCTTCTATATTATATTAAAAACACGAATCCCTTATTGAAATGTTGTTTGTCTTTTTAATCATTCGTATGTGCATTCTATGTTGGATATAATTATAGTTGTAATCCCTTATCGAAATATTGTATGTAACAAATTTTGTTAAATTCTCGTTTATTGTCGTATTTTCTGTTGGCTAAGACTTAACTTTATTTTAGGTTTAGAATTCTTTAGACTCTCCTTTGTTTAGTTATAATTAGGTCTCTTTATTATGGTGTAGCTTTCCACTAGGTTTAGGATTTTTTAATTTTTTGTTTATTTATGATTCTTTACTGTGATTTGATTCTTTATTATCGGTTAATTCATGTTACTTATCTTTATTTAGGTTTAGCATTCACTTTCATATCTCTAACATATGCGGAGGTGAACTAACTTGAGATTTGAGGTAAACTTTCTCTGTGTAATCTCTTCTTGAAGTTATATAATAATATACATATATTCTTGATAAATAATTACAAATTGAAAGGTTGTCAATTGTGATTTTTGTAGGACGTCCCATGTATGCATGCTTGATTAAGAATTGCAAATTGAAAGGTTATCAATTGTGATTTTTTTTTTTACAATGTCGGTTTGAAATTTACTTATTTACAAATTGCAGACAAGATTGTTTGGCTTGCATTAGATGTAGAAAATTAGTTAAGCATCTAACTCATATCAATTAAAGATATAAATAACTTAAGGATACTTGAACTCTATAAATTGTATTAATATTATGACTTTCACTTATGGTATTACGGAACTCTCCCTCTCCATGCTTCCCAACAGCTCAAACTCTCTTATATTGAAGCCCTCTATTTTTATGCAAAGTTTGCTCTTACCGTTTGTTAATACAATTATATAAATCTATTGCGGAATATGTCTTAACATTTGTTTACTAAAGGAACTAGATGTAAAATAAGTTGTGTACTATTACTATAAAAAGATTGGCAGTAGCTTTGCAGTTCAACGCGCAGTTCAAAGTTTATTAGTAAAAAAAATCCTGAAAACAGAACAATAACAATAATTACTATTTCAAGAGAACTTTTAGTAGGGAAGTTAGCTTATGCTTGTATTTCCTGCTATTCATATAGAGCAGGTAAGTCTATCAGATGATGTCTAAAAGTTAATAAAAACTTGTGCAATTCGGCCTTTTTTTTATTGCCATGTTCATGTATCGTACAATTGGTGCTTATATTATGTAATTCTTTCGTTGTGATTGATTTATTGGAAATCATTATTTTGTTTGTGATTATATTTATAAAATTTCTTATATTGAAAAAATATAAATTTTAGGTAGAAGTTGGCGTTGACATATGTGGCTTTACAATGCTTATAACTTATCTACTCTTCATAAATCAATCTTTTAGTACAAATATGTCACTCTTGGTAGCCTAAACACCTTCAAACCATGTGAATTCTTTTCTGCATGTTTATGTGAGCATGTTCATATATAGCTAATTGTAGTCATGACGTTATTGTTTGATTTTTATTTTTATAGGAATTTACTATTGAAATTTTCTTTAGTTCTTTAGTTAATTATGTTAGTCCCGCCAATATTGCTGTATTTGTAAATAATAATTCTGCGAAATATAAGTTATCGTAATGAAACAATAATTAATTCGAACCCACTGAATTCACAGTGTTTTTTTAAGGAATTTAATCCCCTCCTAGTACCCAAGGTTATGGATTATTTCCTCCCAGGATAGAACGAATTACACACTGGTGTAGCGGTACTTCAACCCCCAGTGTTTTAGCGAACACAAAGTTCGGTAGCAAATCACACTTACAGTTGCTTTGTTTGAAGTTAAAACAATGCAGAACAAAGGAGTAGAAACTCAGAAAATCGTATGGAAATGCTGAGAGGAAGGAGTGCAATGTATAGCCAAAGTTGAGCGTTTTCAGTTTGGTGTTTGTGTCTTTCTTCAACAGCTGATGCACATATTATAGCAGTCAGCTTTGAAGATGAACGACCCTCCACCCTCCATGATGGAGCATGCACTAACGTGTTTGTGGAGCAAGCACTTGGCCATGGTGGGAAGAGCATTAGGCGGCTGCTATTACAGCTGGTGGTCAATACACGGATTGGAACATAACCGTTACAAATGCGGATAATCTTACGTTAATATTTACTATTAACAAATAAATTTGGTCTAAAAAATTAATCAATCAATTGACCAAATCCGAATCCGAAGCCGAAACCGAAGCCGAAGCCGAGCAGAGCGAGCGACGACGATGACAGCGCGAGACTTGCTTTCTTCTTAACTCTTTAAGAGTTACAAGAAGAGCAATTATATATATACCCGCAAAAAATCTTTTTCTCTTCCAATATGGGATAATATTTCATTGTCAAGAGGGGAAAACTTAAAATTTTACTCAAAAATTATATTTTTCCCTCCATTTCCCATTCACCCTCATTTTAAGACTATTTCATCTTAAATAACAAAAA